ACCCACACTGGGGCTCCCCGGACAGCCAGATGCTGACACGGAAAGGGTGCAGACGCAGGGATGGCTGAGCTGCAGTCAAGTATAGGGCACACACAGGGAACTGCATGTACTTGACACAGACTCGTTTTAACTGAGGCTTATGCCAACATATTTTACTCAGAGTGCATCATGGCCCCGTTGCTGACAATAATTCATTTATGCACAGTAATTTGTCCTCTAGGAAACGCCTCTCCCTGTTCCTGGACCAGCTCAGCGCATGCACCCAGGAACTCACACTCATCCACTTCAGCTCTCCTTGCTGGCTGCCATCGGCCTCTCTTCTCCCCTGTCATCTGAAACACACCTGCAAAAATTATTTTCCTCACTTCTCCTTCAGACTGGGACGAAATCATACCTGTTTCAGGGAAATACTTCATTAAAAAATTCTGTTCCCACCGGGAAGACCCTACAAAAACCGCGACTCTTTCCTTCCTGTCTGCTTGGATGCAAGCAAGCTGAGCTGCACTTTGCCAAGTTGCTAACAACTCATTTGGGTCATCTGCCCTAAAAAGGGGATCCAACAGGAAAAAAAAGATTTCTTTTAAAGACTAAAGTTTGCTGCAGATCATCCTCCAAGCCTCCCCCCCATCTTTTTTTTTTTTCTCATGCAAAAAAGCCACCAGTTACCAGCGGATCAGTGTGCCGCACCTCCCTGTCCCGAGGCATCCAAAAGCAAGAACAGGCAGTTCCCTTCGCTGGGTTTGCCCGACGTATCTCCCGCTGCTTTCACGCTTTCCAGGAGATGCGTACAGCCCAAAGAACAGGATCTCGACTCCTGCCTTCCCCTCCTGGATGTGCTTTCAACTGTAAACAGCCTACACAGAGCCCGACGGGACTGGCAACCGCGCTCCAGGCCTGGAAGTCTCTCTGCTGCCGAGAGGAGGGTTCCCCATCTCCCATCTGCGCAGCCGAGGGTGGAGACAGGTTTCCACCTGACACCTTACTGATTTTGTGCGGGAAGCTCGACAGCCTCACCCAGAGCTGAAGGCTTTTCAGCATTTAAACTGCTTCTGATATAGAAATCACCAACTGGAACAGCTCTTCCGTGCAGTAAGTGCCCCATCACCCTAAATGCCACTATCGGCTTGTTTATCCTATGCTAACTTGCAAGATACCTTCCTGTACTGACGCCTTATTTCCTCTGTTTGCGAAAGCAGAGAGCTTGCTAATCCCCCTTTACCCACGTCAGAGTCCTAATGTTCTCCCCGGGCTTCCATCACAACTTGATAATCCTGGCTCACTCCCAGCCGTACGCATGGCTCCCTTTGGTTGTATGGAGAATTGGGTTTGAATTTTTTGGATGACTTGGGGGGGGGCATGGAGAAGGGCAAGACTCACTGTAGGCTCCTTTTAGTGCCTGCCTGTACCACCACCAAGCACATCAGCGCTCCCAGGAGCATCTCCAGCAGCACAGGGAGGAGATACATCAGTAAAACGTGCTTTGGGGCCAGGAAAAAGAGCAGCAGTTGCTGCCTGTGAGGACCAAGGTACACAAACAAGGATCCATTGGGTCTCTGGCTGTGCCTAGCTCAGGTCTGTTAAATCAATTCCCTGGTCACAGCTTGATTTCACATCTTCCACTGCCACTTCTCCTCTTCCCAACACCAGCTCTTTCCTCTGTGCCTCCTTCCATGCCCTGTTTTGAATCCCAGCTGGAGCTTCGAGCATACCACCCCTCTCGCCATCAAACTGGCCCTTCAAAATGCCGCATGCTGCACAAAACTGCAATAACCCCAGGCTTGTGATGACACCGAGGCCATTAAACCAACCTTCCTCGGGCAGGGAGTCTGCTCTTTCCTTCCTGGGCAGCACTGCGCACTGCTACAGCCCTGCGCAGGTACTGCTTCGGCAAAAGCTTCATCAATATTTAAAGATGAAGTCAGGAAGCCCATAGCCCAAGCAGCTTTCAAGCCCCCGATCAGATCAATGTCAAACAAAAGGCTGCATATGAGGATGCTCCAGCGAGCGAGGCCCAGACTGCAGGCTGGCACCGTCACTTCTCCTTCCCAACGCCGATCGAGTTTCTCTCCTCCAGCCCCAGCGGGCTGGGACGGCTCCAGCACCAGCCCATCACACGGAGCTGCCCACAGCGCACACCGAAAGCAGCCCCAGAGCGCAGTTTCCTCTTACCAAAGCATTTTCAGTTTCCAGTCAACTTCAAAAATCGGTGCTGCTACAATCCCCTTCACTTGCTTTGAATATTACTTTGCTTTAATGCCAGCCACTTAAGAACAAAACATCTGAGGCTCAAACCATAGGGTCATCGGTTCCAGCATCCCGACTCAGAGCAGATGCTCCAGAGTAGCAAGAAAACCATAATGCACTTAGCTAGTTTGACACTACATGGGAGCAGGAGATCTTATTTCCCTTAGATATAAATGTAACCGACCACAAGATTATCCGCAGCCCTTTTGCAGTTCAGCCGCGTGCTGGGCTCTCTACTCCCTGCAAGACCAAATTTAGCCCTAGCTTCTGAGACATCCATGAACGTACAGAAATTGCCTCTTTTTAGCCGTCTTGGTTCTCTTGTATCACTTAATTATTATTCAGATGCCAGAGAATGGATGGGAAAAAAATACCATCAAGATAGAAACAAAAAACTTTAAAAAGAGAAGAATTACATCTAATGACTAAAATCAGGAATGAAACACCTTACCTGACCTCAAGCAAATTTGTTAAACTACCATCTCAGTTCCCCTATCAATAAGATGGGGGTAAATTTATGCCCCTTCCAGGGAAACTGATGTGGGTGTGGGATTGGAATCCCTCAGAGAAGACCTACAGGAGGGTAAGAGCATTCCTAGAGAGAAGCGTTTATTGGAAATATCAGCAAATTAAGACTTTGCAAGCAATAGCGAGCAGGGGGAATTTGCTGGTTAATACCATTATGGCTCTGGCAGTCATTTTCCCTCTCTCCTTCCTGCAACCAATCGCACCAAATCACTCCCCGTTTCATCTCCTCCCGACAGAACGCCACGCAGAGCGGTTTGTCCCCTCTGCATCAAATAACCGAGCACCGGTGCCCGGGAGAATGCTCACACTCACACCCTGGGCTTCAGGGTATGGAGAAGGCAGACAAATCCTCCGCGACCGTGCCAACGCTGAAAATCCATCTGCTCTCCATCCCCAGATTTTTTGAATGGATACCAACATCTCCTCCATCCCTAAGGGAGATATATTAGCTGGTTACGTAATAAAACTAACAGCATGGCGCTTCCAAGGACTACCACGCCGACAAAGCCCTTCCCCTTAATACCACCAGAGATTAGAGCAAATCGAAGAAGAGTGGAAACAAGGCGAGGGGCTGCGGGTGAGGTTTTGCACAGAGGAAAATGCTGCAGTCTCTCCCCTTAATGCACTCTAAATCCCATCTGATTTCCAACTCTGCTGCTTAAAAAAAAAAAAAAAAAAAAAGAAAAGGAAAAAAAAGCTCAGACTGCATTAAAATTATATTAATGCTGGGTGAGTGAGGTAGAGTGACTCAGGAAGGGTGTGGAGGAGGAGAGTTGTTTAGGGGAAGCATCCAGAGGAATCCAGACCATGAAAGCATTTTGGAAGCAGACCAAAAGGAGCCAGGGGCGCAGATCTGCTAAAGGACACTAACTGTGCTTTTACAAATCTGATTAGTTGCTGGTTTTGAGCATCCAGGGTCAGATCCGTCCTTCGATAAACACACATCCCCCTCATGCCAGGCTGCCGGCAAAGCATAATACAACATAACCCTACTCTTTCCTCTCCATATCAGATGCATTCCCAGCTCTGAGGACAGGGTTTTCACTTCATTTCTGCTCCCTCTTCAGGCTGGCTAACTCCATAGCAAGAGACATCAATTTACCCCGAGTAAAATTACTCTTCCCTCCACTGCACCGTTTTCACTGCAAACTAAATATTTAAAACGAGCGCGCTCCCTACGTGATGAGGATTTCGATGGAAGTCAAACTCGAGGTCTCATCTAGCCAGATTGCTGCTTTACATGCAAAGTGACAAGGCAAGAAGTCATCGCTGCCAGCTGACTGCACGTGCTTGTTCCCCCTTTGACAATTAAGAGTCCAAATAGCCCCATCCTCAAGGCAACATTTCTTTACAACTTCACACTTCGCATCCTTTTTGAGCTTATTTTGACACACCTCCTTCCATTTCGTCGAAATAACCAGTGAGTTTCTTCTCTGAACTGGGAAAACACGGTAAAGGCATCAAGCAGAAGTACAGCGCAACCGGAGGCAGTGGATGAGCACCAACTAGACACGTTCGTACATTCCAGTATTGTCTTTGAACCAGTCTCTATGAACTTACTGTTTTATTCACTACCAGCTTAGTTTGAATAACTGCGAAAGTCACCAGACTTGGCAGAAGAAAGGCCCAGATAATAGGTGAGAAACGCTACAGAGAGTCCCTAGAACCAAGCGATTTACTACGGTGGCAAGATGGAAAATAAAGCAGGAGGCAAACAACCCGAGGCTGATTGCCGAGGGATGACTGGAAGGTGCCACCCAAGCAGAAAAGCAACAGCTGCTCAAGAGCAGCCACCAAGCATTCAAGAAAAGTCTTGAGAAAGGAAGGAAATGAATAGGTAATAAAACGTTGGTCATACTCTCTGCCACTTCACAGTGAAGCGTTTTGGAGATGAGTTTATTATGGCACTGACTAGTTGTGTTAGTTGACCAAGTCTGGTCCTCCCTGGCTAGGCACTGTACAGATACAGAGTGGGGAGCAGTTTTCCCCCAAAAACTAAGGCTAACTAGCAAGCTGGCAGAAGGAGGAAAAGAGCAGAGCCACCAATACTATGGAAGTAAACAAGAAGTTAGTGCTACCATTTTGTTCTGAGATTTTAAGTCACAACCTAGTTAGTGACCATCTGCAGTGAGGGAGAGCTATTTTACTAGCAAAAACTTGACATTTCAAGTAAAAGAGAGGAAAAACCCCTAGCTAAGAGCAAAGTAAAAACTTTCCGGCAGCCTTACCATTGGCATCTTGGACTCCGGTAAGCGCTCCTACTGCTGCTGCAGTTTCACCAGATAAGACAATTTGTCCTCCACCTTGAAGAGTGGCTTCAGCAAGCGTGGCTACTGCATGGGCAGCTGCTTCACTGTGGGCACAGGAAAGGAGAAAGAAGAATTAGGAAGACCAAACAAATAACTCCACTCCCGTGGCATCAATTTTAACCAGGCATTGTACATCAAGAGAACAAACCCAGAAAGGAGGGATTCTTACTGGGTCCAGATGAAGTTATCCAGAGCAGAAAATCTACAGTGGAGGAGGAATACATGGGAAGAAGCTCCTTCCACTGGCTTTTTTCAGCTTGCAGATCTCTTAGTCAGAACATCCCTGCCTTCTTACCTTCGCATCCTTTTGCCTGGGACTCTACTAAAAGCTTTCGGACAATCCAAGTAAGCTATACCACGTGGCTCCTTCCTGCCTCTGGTTTCTGGTACAAAACTCATTCTTTTGGCACTGTCACATTCCAAGTCTCTACAGATTTTAGAGCTTTACCCTTCATTACTGATTCAGCCAGTGCACCTTGCACTGAAACAGGCCCAGAGGTTCACCGTTACCAGGATCACATCAGCAGCTCTGTATTTAACTAAGATGGAATACTTCTCCCCAGCCGAGTGTTTTAATAATTCTTTTTAATGAGTGATCGGTAGCTTAGCATGGTATTCTTAAATTTCTCCATACAAATGAGGTCAGACCAAAGGTTCTTCTCGTGCAGCAACCCTGCTGTGAGAAGAGCCAGTATCAGATAATTTGGAAGGAGTGTGTATGATCCTTCCCTTCCTACACCCTCTCAGCTTCCGACGGTCGGCAGTGTATTGATTTCCTACATCAGAGACTGCATCTGGACCATCAGGTTTGATTTGTCTAATCCCCTTTGAAACCCATTTATACCTTTTGCTTCCACAACATCCTGTAGCAATGAGTTCCACATTTAATTAGATGCTGTGTGAAGAAAAATTGCATTCTGGTACTCTGAAAACTACTACCTCAGTCTGGCTGGGCAGCCCTTAAGTCTGATATTGTGAGAAATAGAAAATAACTGTTCCCTTTTCGTTTTCCTCATGATTTTATAGACTTCCAGTAATCTCTTTCCCACGCTGAAGAGCCGTAGTCCATCTACTGTGCAAGGACTCTTTCTGGCTTCCGAACACTCTTGTCCTTCCCAGACTTTTTCTAAATGTAAGATATCTGTTTGAGGAGGGTGACCATTTCTCATACTATTCAAGACGTAGTCCACCATGAGTTAGTCCAGGGGCCTAATCCTGTCTTGTTCTCTATGCTTTTCCCTATAATTCCTAATGTTCAAGTTACTTTTTTGACAATATCTGCTCAGCAGTGATAAAACATTCCAGCAGGATAGTTCCCTGAATGCTTTCCGAATGGTAACTGGTAATATATAGCTCCTCATTGGGTATATACAGGAGATGTTTCTTCATGTGTGTATCACTTGCATTTATTGACATCATATTTTATTTGCCATTTGGTTGCACAGTGCTGTGAGCATCCTTCAGCAGCTGTTCAGGTTTCTCCAGACCTTTTGGACAACTATTAGCTACTTCTGGTGACCTACTGCTAGTCACAAAATTATTCCAAAGCCATCTCCTTCTTGCATCTTAATCTCCTACCACTTCTTACCTTAATGAACTAAAAAAAGTAGGTATTTTCTTTAGCTTCCCCTAGGATGCTCTTCCTTAACTGCCCCACTCATTCTTTGGTAGACCAACTGACTCAAATATTTTCCAAGTACTTCCTACTCATTTCCTGCTTAGATGCTGTACACTTTCCAACTGTATTCACTCAGGGTGTATTTTCATTTCCAAATAGCCCCTCTGTCTCTCAGAGTAGCTCTTAAACACTGTTAGCGAACCAGATATTTTCTTGTTCTGCTTTCTTATTCTCTTTGGCTAATCTCTCTTCTGAACCTGCAGCTATGTGAAGGCAGTTACACTGCAGGAAGGCCAACTACAACACAGCAAACCCGTACATAAGCATGGATTTGCTGGTGTAACCCTGTTTCCCAGACTTCAGACAGCATTTATTTGAATCCACTTTCAAGGGCAATTGAGCATTTTAATGCTTTTTCCAGCGACATGTGCTCCACAAACATTAATTGGTTCAAATCAGTGAATTAATCACCTACCTCCACTTTTCCTCTTTTACTAGAAGGTCTAATACTTCTCATCCTCAAACCTGACAGAGGTTGCATCATCCATCATGTCATGCTGTTGGCAGATGTGCTGCTCTACACGGGACTATGAAAGACTCCGCACTCTGTCAGCAGCCATTGGAATAAGATTCAGAGATGGCAGCTTTCAGCCAAACTAGGCATAAAGTTTCTAGAGCTGGGATGAGCCTCCAGCTTTCAAGGACCGGAGCCTTGCTGAGATCTTCCTACAGGCAGGGGAAAGACTGCAGTCCCACAGCTGAAAGCTACAAGGAACACTTTGTGGCAAAGGGAAAATTAGACCTCTTCCACATGGAAGGGCTTTGGAGGATAGTTACCTACAAAGATCTCCAGCACTACCATGGTCAGTAGACAAAGAGGGTGACAACAAGCTGGGAAATAAAACATGAGGCCCCTCATTCCTACTGCAACGCTGCTACAGCCTTCGCATCACTCCTGAACTACAAGCTGTTTGAACAGACTTATCACAGGGCTTTCCTGGGTTTAAACACATTCTCTCTTGAATAGAGACTAAGTGACTTGTTGAAGGCTCTTCCATTCATATTTTCTAGGTGACTCTCTTTAGTTCTAACAACACTTCCTTTTATTAAGGATTCTGAATTTCTTAAGCTAATACAGAAAAAGGAACAGCTCATTGCGACCTTAAGAGCTAAAACTAGTAGCGATGGGATGAAATTAAAATCAAAAGCCCACTGATGGTCTAGTCCAGAAAAACTTCTAAAAAAAATACATACAAAAATCTATTGCCTGGAAATGTGCAGGATGAAATCCTGCAAGTCGGATTCTGGGAGATGGGGCTTTTTCCTGCAACTCCATGCCTAGTTACTTCAGCTGTTCTTACAGCGTCTTAAAAAGATCACTTGTTTTTAAAAGGTAGTTTCACTATTAGAAACTATCAGTAAAAAAGCCTACCCAACCAACCTTGTACGATAGCAGAAAAGAACATACTGATGGACCTGAACCTGGACCACAAAGAGAAGAAACAGTTCTAGGTGTGTTCGTGATTCAGTTGCAACAGCAATTTGGAAGCAAGCTGTTGAAACCCCCTGGGATCAAAGTGGCTCCTTTAGCAATTTGTGTATATAACAAGGTCTTGGAGCTTTACTCCAGCCATCAACATTGTGGATTTGTGCCTTGTCCTAACCCATGGTTGCTCAGTCAACAGCCTCTAAACCAGAATCATGATTTGGATGAGGAAAATATTTTGTCTACACCTCAGCAGTGTGAAACCTTCTGTGCTGCTGGGGCTGATGCCGTGTTTCCTATGGTCCTCCTGCTCTCACAGGGTGCAGCTGCGGTGTGCCACAGCCATTTCCAGTTTTTAAGAACAGCGGGCAAAGCTTAAGCAACTCACCAGAGCTGAGCAAAGACACTGCTTCCTGCTGCAGGACCTGTAGAGAACTACTCTGCAGATCTTGGTAACCTGAGTACAACCAAAAATCTAACAGAGCTCGTTCCAAGATGAAGAGGCAGCATTACTATTGCAGCTCATTCACGTTCTACTTCAGAAACACATTTGGGAGAAACTCCAAAAACACTGGCCTGTGGAAAAGATTCTGATTTCTGAAGAGAGACCACACTGCCACACAACAGGGAAATTCAGCCTTAGTCTTTTAGGAAGAACCGTTAATAATATTGAGGAAGACCCAGACCATACTTAAAAGGTGCTATTAGCACATAACAACTCTTGCTTGCTTAGCAAGCTCAATTCAGTAACTGGACCCTTGCTGTACAAATAAGACCGTTTAGAGGGTACAGTTACTACCTGTCTTTTTCTCTTTCAGGAAATTTCCATGTCAGTGTTCTTCTATAGCTCAGTGGGAATCAGCAACTGTCCTGCAGACACCTGGACACGGGCTGACAGAGGAATTTGCTAAGGAAACGCCTCTACTGGGACTGTACACAGTGGTCTTTGCACCATTAGAGTGAAAACCCAGATGGAAATGTCACGCGCTCATGCTTCAAGCCTTCATCTCTCACCCATACCTGTTGAGTGCCATGGTAACAGTTGCTCCTTGCTGCATCTCCTGAGATGCTGCCACTGCTGCTTCTGCTAATGATGCCACCGCCTGCGTGGCCTCTGATGCCTGCGTCGTCTGGATAGTCATCTCACCCCCCTGTAGCGTTGCCCAGTTCTGCTCCACCTATGGGGAAAAACAAAAAGAAAGGCCCTAGGATTGGACGTCGTCCCATGAATGGATGGCTGCTTCCTAAAATGAAAGAGCCAGATAATTTTGAGAGGTCTTTGCAGAATCCTGCACATGCTCTGACTCTCTCCAAGAGACAGGGAAAAAAGAGCACGAGGGGAGGAAGCCCAGGATGGACCTGAGACCACTGCTGGAATCTACAGCCCTCTATCAGCCATGAGTGAGTTTCTATAGTCAGCCCATGACTTTAGTTGCTGTTCTCCATATGTTCAAACTTCAAACAAGAACTTTAGTTTTCTCACGCACATGGAAAACGCACCCCATAAACATCTATGAAGCCCCTCAACCTCCCACAAATCCCTCTTGTCCAGCCACGTCCGCAACAAAACAGGACAGTGTTGATTGCTGCTGTAGGATCACTGCCTACCAGCCTGGGCAGTTTATTAAGTAGCTGCATTTCTGTGGTGCTGGAACCCCAGCGTGGGTCACATCCCCCAAGGAAACGGGCTGTGCTTGCCTCACTGTTTCGATTTGTTTGCACCCATCTGCTGTCATTTTGGGGAACAGTCCACGTTCCCATTCAGGATTTATTTGTACAGCACTTGTGAACTCAGGTGGGTTTGAGCCAACTGGAATTTCTTTGTGTTGCAGCAATATACTTAATAAAAGAAGATGGCAGATGGAAAGTACTCTGTTCATACATTTCAAGTACTTTCAATTCCCTTATTTCAGACCTTTATGTAGATAGGTTTCATATTACTTAAAGTTCACCCAGTCTCGGTTGCTCATTTTCCATCTTGCCCACGTTTCTCCATTTGGGACTTCACAGCTCATGAAATGATGAGTGTACGGCCACAAAATCCACCAGGATGTGAACTAGAAATACGCATTGGACCAAAAAAACTAAAGAAGTGGAGGATGAAGGCCCATCAGCTGACAAATCCTGGCTGCTTTGCAAGACGAAGATCTTCCCCCACCCTCCCATCATTGTTCTCATCCCCATAAACGTTTCAGGCCACTCACCATCTTGCTGAGACTCACAAATAAGAATGCCGTAGAAGGTGATGAAAAAAAAACCCTCAATTTGTTAAGATGGAGAAAATTACAAAGTCCATAGAAGCAGAGCTGCCGCAAGGCTCCCCACAAAAGGACAAGTAAATTTTGCTGCCTTTGGGCAAGAAAAGGGTTAGTCCCATCACAGGGTGGAGAGGGAGAGAGTAGCTGTCGCGCTCTCACTCACATCTGCTATCACACACTCCTCAGCAGCTGCCAATCTGGTTTTCCAGCACTTGGGCACAGGCAAAGCTGGCGCTCGTCGTAGCTCTTTAGCCATCCCCAGCCGTCTGACGTTCAAGGCAACTGCTTCATTCTCCTGTGCCCAGAGCTGACCCTGGGCGGAAGGATCCAAAGCAGGGAGGAAGCAGTGAGATAGTGCATTGCGAAAACGAGAAAGGAAGTTGATTTTAGAGAAGGCAATGCCTTTTAGGAAAGATGCAACCAAGTTTGAGTGCCCAGAGAGGAAGAAGTTGCAGATGGTAGAGATCTCGAGAGTCGGATCGAGTTTGTGGTACTCGTTAGCCATGCCAAAACCGAACCGAAGCAAGCCCGAGCTGGGAAAGCAACCCTTCCCACCACCATGCAGAAGAGGAACAGACATACATTTTTTTCAAATACATGACAACACACATTTGAGTGATAAGGCAGGTCTCCACTGTGACATACAGTGCCTTGCAAAGATGCCTAAGCTGTTTCAGAACAGGGATGGAGTAAGGCCTGGAAAAGAAGGGGGGACTGTCCAGGCTCTTCTCCACACTAACACAAAGGTTGTGCCGCTGAGATACTAGCGAGCATCCCTGCTCCATGCTGCTTAGCATCCTATGAACACATCGATTTACTCAGAGCTAACTTAGATCTTCACACAGCAAGAGATAGCAGGACAAAAACGTCCCTAGAGAGGCTGCCAGCAGGCTGTGGATCTCTCTGTGCAGAGAAATAGCACCTATCCCCAAAGCAAGTTTACTTTTGCATCTTTATTTTGTCCAAGATATCACTTAGACGTTCCATTCATGTTAGGAATTAGATGCCTGTGTTCCCCTGATTTCTATTTGTGCCTTTGAAAAATTTCTTTCAGATCTCAAGAGATATAACTGGTTCTTGAAATCCCTCAAAACAGCTGCAAAGTGCTTCAAGGTCACGGCCCCAGAGCCAGGCTGTTTCGCTGTGGGTCTGAGATGGAAACAGAGTCTGGTGCAGAGCAAAGCTGTTCTGTGCTGCCACCTGCCGCCGTGAAAGCCCCATCCACGCAGGGTGGACCAGACCTTGCTGCTCCTGTGCACAGACTGTCCGGCCAGAAATTCTGGTGTGCAGCAAAGGGACAGAAAGCAACCTGCAGCCTGGTTTGAAGGCGGGTTTGGGGATCAAGAGGGTAAAAAAAAAAATTATTAAAAAAAAAAAATCTTCATAATCTTAAAGGAACGTTCCTTATACACACACAAAAAACTTTATTACACGATTAAAAAAAAATTGGAAAAATAAATGCATGTAAATTTGAGTGTTCAGATTTTGGGATTGAAATGGTCTGACCAAGCCCTCAACAGAAGCAACTTTGCCAAGTTGTAAAACAGTGGAAGAAACTTTCACAGTAAACGGAACAGTTACTCCGCAGTATCTCCCGTTGTCTTTACACTACTGTGCATTTATACAGCTCTCTCTGGGATTTACTTGCAAACCTCCCTAAAAACTACAGCAAAGAACAGTCCCATTTTGTCCAGAGATCAGTGGCCAGAGAATCACAGGATTTGCCCACAGCCATGCAATATCCTTTGCTAACCACAGGCTCAAAATATCCCAGGCATCACTCCCAACCCTGAATGGACAAACCAGCACCCAGGACCTACAGCACATATGAAACAGTTGCTCAATATGAATACACAAATGTGTACTTGTGTAGGTCATTAAGTCTTTATCTGCTACAGCAGATAAATAAATAATCTATAGGAGATATCCAAAAATGTATGAAATTCAGAACTGAGGCTTCCACCATAATTGCAGTCGTACAGTCCTGAGTTAAAATGACAACAGTTCAGCACTTTCTATATAAAATTTTATAGAGTCTCGTGTTCACATGTATGTTAACCCTTAACACTGCAGGGTGGGGAAGCAAGGCTTGGTGTTTTCTGTGACCACTTAATTCTAGAAAATATTTAACTTTATTGAAGTTCAGATAGGATAATTCTGGTTTGTGCACCATGAACATGACCCAGGTCCTTACCTCTCCATCAGCCACTGCAGAATAATTGACTTGTGCGACAGTAACTGTGGTAGGCAACTCTGAGGCATCGGCCAGCGTGGCAACTGTAGCACCAGTGCCAACCTACGGAAGCCAACAAAATGCAGCTGAACACATTTGTTATTGCAGGAAAATGTCCACATAATTCAGGCAAAGGGACACTCAAATGCTCTCAGATTAAAAAGCATCACACCCACAGAGAATAATAGTAATTACAGAGCTCACAGAAAATACAGAGCTGTCTCAAAGGGCTGGGGGAGGAAATCATACACTAGAGCCACATTAATCTATGGCAGCTTCCAGAGTGGATATGGCCCAGAAGCAAGTTTTGCACAGGCCTCGTGCTGTCCCCTACGTTCATGTAGGAGACAGAGTCCTTGCTATTCTCCCAGCCTTGCAAAGAGCAGCTGTGGGACGCTGCTGCCATTCCCAGGTGTGAGGGTGGTGCGCAGGTGGAGCCAACACGCTTCTCTCATGGGGTGGAAGTCACTTAAAAAACCACTGAGCAGTCCTGGAGCAGAACTCCAGCGCATCAGCCCTCATTTATGACGCTCCTCGCTTACCATTCACTGGGTGTTTCATCTCCAGGCACTTGGCAAACATTAGCTCATCCTCAATACCCCATTGCCTTTGGAAATTACCTTTTCCCCATTTAACAGCTGGGGAAAGACAAAGGCAGGGAGATGTGCAGCTTTGTTTCTAAGGAGAATTAAACCTATAGATGCTGGAAAGCCAATGGGATCTCAGGTGCCCAGCACCTAAAAGAACACTAGTCAAAGGGAAAACGTACGTTAGCAGGTGAGCAAACAGAACCAGCTTGGCAAGTCTGCCGGGCCTTGGTGAGAGGAACAGAAAGCTGTAATGATCGCTGAAAAGCTTCCATTTGGGAAAAAAAAAACGCAACAACCAAAACAAAAAAAACCCCACCCCACCCCCAAAAAAAAAACCCCAAACCAAACAAACCCACACACCATGTTTTTATCTTCATGGTTGTGAGATGAGAACAGCCAACAGAAAATGACGTTTGAGACTTCATTAAAAGTGTGATGCTCAAGAGGGACAAACCTCTGAGCCAGTTAGGTACGAGAGGGCAGCAGTGGTTTGGAGGCAGGGGCACAGGGGAAACTAAGGTTCATATCCCACACCCATGAGGAGCTCTTGGGAAGTTTCAACAGAGCACTTAAATTTTTGACATCCTGAGCTGCCAGAACCTGCCTCCCCACATGGAGAATGCAGGGAAAACAGCAGCACCGCTGAGCCACTGCCTGAACGCAGCCCCTTCTGCCCTGAATCCCCCTCTGTAAAACGGTGTAAGAGACATCCTTACCGCAGGGGGTATCATGAGGATAAATATATATTTGGTCTGTGTAATATATATATTGCAGTGTAATATATATATCTTACACTGTAGGTATAAGATGAAGAACAGGGGGCACAGAAATACCCAATGCCATAGATTAAGGTATGTTTCATGCCGTTAAAGAAAGGCAGTCCCATCACCTCTCCTCCCATCACTCCATCCCATTGCCACCACAGGCGTTGTGTGGTCACATCATGAACCGTATTTGTTCGTAAACGGGTTCATTAAACTCAGGTCAGATCCCTGAATCGCTTGACCAAATAGCTGCAGAAATGCTTGTACTGCCATAACAGGAGAACAAGAGATGGGAGTGGGGAAAAGAGAGGATGAGACTGCTTCTCTGGGTGGGAGCATTGGGTTAACAAGCCTGTAGGCTAAGACATAGAGACAAAGACAAAATTCTTGAAGGACAAGTTAAGCTACCAAAAGGAGTTTGCTCTAAAGCACCTCCCTGATGCAGGCAACTCAATCCCGAGTCAGCCATGCTGGAAATGGAAAAGCCGAAGGGTTTCACTCACCTGGATGAGGGACACGGTGCCATCAGGGTTACTGAAGGTTTGTACCACTGTCTGTGATGGCACCAGGTGTGCTATACTATGTGTGGTTGTAGTCTGCTGCTGTGTCTGCTGATCCTCAAATGCGTAGAGTAGGTCTTCACGCCCATGCTGCTTGTAGCAGTTCTTCACGATAGTCCGCAATGCTTGGGTCCATGACACCTACCAGTAGAATGAAAGAGAATGAAGCATCAGTGTAAAAAAGTTTTCTCAACCACTGCAGTGCTGCTACTGATGTGATCTGCATGCTTATCTTTACCAGGTTTTCAACAAATTCTCAAATAAACAAAAGGCCCCAATACCTAATCCCTCTCTCCTCATCCCCTCCTTTCCCCAAGACTCAGACATCACCCTGGAGAGCTATTGCATTGCTGTGTACGGACACAGAACGAGCTCACCCGGCCAAGGGAAAGGGAAGCTTCTCAATGAAATCTGTTTCGCCAGCTTTCAAGGAATTCTAACTAAGGGACTGGGGCTGACAAGTAGAAAACCATCCCTACTAGGAAAGCACCAACTGCCACAGCACCATTTCCAGCCTCGCTAGGCATCCCTCCCCATCCAACCAGACCTACATCAGCCTGCACAAGTCCTGCCCCTTGTACACCCTGGTAGCTTTATTTCATTATCTCCTTGTGATAGGTTGATAGAAACATCACCTGCATGCAGGATCCATGGCTGTAACCGATATCCAAAACCTTTTCACTCAGTTCTCTCACTCCTTTTTTTTTTTCCTGGCTCACTACACATCACTATTTCCCTTTAAGTACAAAGGTCCCTGCTGCTCGGGATGGGACAGTATCCCTTCAAAGGCTTCAAGAGGCCATGATACAGACTCTACGGTAAATGACCTGCATACTTGGAGAGTAGACTTGTCTCAGGCTGGGTAGGCTGCTTCATAAGGCCACAGAGCTGAGCAGGTTCTGCAGGTAGCAAAAAGGGCACCCACTGCAGAAAGAGATGTGATTCAAATACCTGCTTGTCACACAACCCCAGCAGGGACAGAGCAGATTGAAGGTTCCGCCTCTCTCATCTCATTGCTCTCCCAGGCTGAATGTCTGACACGAAGTCAAGGAAGGGTCGATGTCATAGTTTCTTCTATCACTTGAGGGGAAAACTATTCCCACAAAAACTGGTTGCAAGACCCTGTACTCAATTTGAAGGCAGACAGACATGGGATACACACCCGCTGCTTCTGTTCCTCTGTGCGGACATCGCTGCGAACATTGGCCCACGGAATGTCCTCAGGCCACCAGATGGGCTTGCAGCTTTCTTTGCCCCAGCCTGGTTTCCCACGACCCGTGGAATACTTCAGCATCTCAGGGATGAAAGCTCGCAGCTGTGCCTGGAACAGAACCACATCAAAGAGTTGAGAGTTTTTTAGGAACTCGTATCTCTGGTAGTTTTGAGGTGCATAGTACAAAGTTATTACATTTAACTTCCATCCTGTTGGAACCAATCGACTGGAAGAGGCCTGAATGCCTAAGGAAGATGGACAAATACTTTACCATCTTCTCCCAAGGCTCAGATGAGAACAGCTTAGTAGCATGTGGACAAGCAGAAACAAAACTAAGTCAGCCAATTACAACAATAAGGCACAAACACACACTGTATTAACACACTTCATAGTTCAACACTACCATGAAGAGAGCTAACCAACCTGAAAGGGAGAAAAAATAAGAAAATAAGAATCAGAATAACGCAGAAAAAACCCATACTCAATGTCCCCATGGCCACAGGAACTCGGATGTGAGCTGATGTACATTTCACAGAGATGCTGCAAAGAGGATGGAGCTTCAGTGAGCCACCCCAATGTAACAAACACAATCTCACACAAACCTCCCACCCCTGCAGAACATAACATACACCGGACTAATTTGCTGAATCTATTTTTAACTTTTGCCAGAGTGGGGACACCTTTCAACCTGATTTTACTCCTCCTTAGCACGCACAAAAACTGGTCAACTAGTAACTAGCCTTTACCATCAGGAGACAATACCTTAAAAATGGACTTGCAAAGCAAATCGAGCAGATATGTCACCAAGAGCAAGTAATATCCTTAGCGTTATCAAAGAGAATAAAAAACTCACACAGGGTTTTATGACACATTTGGGTTTTGTACCGGGGACTGCCTGGAGCTCAGGAAAAGGCTGGTTCAGCTGCAGAAACAGAGCAGGAAGAGAAGCAGCGCTCAAGACCACATATGTCAGAGAAAACCACGTTAACTTAAAGCTAAATAGCTGCATTTAAGAACATCTCCCTGTATCCTTTCATAGCTTTAATAGCAAGTTATTTGAGCTTATGACAGTGCCACTGGGAGTCCTCGGGCCACCTTACAGCCCCGAGACACCTGCATGTTCAGGGCTCTAGGGCACAGCCATGGAAGAGCGCAACGGGTCCAGCATCAATTGGTGCCACAGCCACGACGCGGCCCCAGCTAGCGGAGACTCACGGAGGTCAGCTCACGGAGGACCCATCCCTGACCTTCTGCCATAACAGTGTCCATTCCTCCGAGCCACGATCCTGCTTGAATGACATGCTGCTTCCAGTCTGGATATTGTATCCATTGGCTCCAAGCTGTAAATCAACTCATTTACAAGCTGCCTTTTCCACGTTAGCATAGGGAGTATGTTCTAAAGTCCCCTCTAACATCGGTCAGACAGAGGAAGGGAGGAATGCTTCAGAGGAACAGGAGAATGCAGATTGTCTCTGTGGTCTCTGCAAAAAGCCTAAAGCCCCTAAGAACACTGCTAAATGCACTGGGATCTGCAGCAGCTCTTTTGGACACAGGACTGCTCTTCAAAGCCAGAGCCCAGCTGGAAGATGTAACATGGGCCCTAGCTTACACAGTTAAATAGAAAAATTGAAGTGTGTTTTGGTAAAAAGAAAACAATTTCTTTGTATGCATGATTTACTACATTGCATACAGTGTGCAGCAGTGGCTAGGGACTTTAAAGGCAATAAAAATCCAGTATAGTGGTGGGTCCATACATAGTGTATCTGCTGCACACCGTAGAAGAACCACCCCTGCTCAGAGAAGCAGCTGCATTTCAGTTCCTCCACTCCTCGGACATCTTGACCCATCTCAGAGAAGTCGTACCAAAACCCTGAATTGTAAATGGAGCCACAAAAAAGCCACCAGCTTGCCCACGCTCACACACAGTGTCAACCCCTTTGGTGCCCTTTTTTCCAGCCCAGGCCAAGCCTGCCCGTGATGCACTTCCCCATCCGTGCTGTAGGGCCAACAGTCACCCTGGCATGCATCAGGATCCCCGGTCGAGGCCCCATTTATTCAGTCAAATAAACCCACTAACGGCATTGAGTTGCCTGGTGCAAAAACAGTTAAAAGGTCCTTCCCAGAATTGCTATCTGCAAGCCATGCTCCTTGTTACCAGATGGATTAATTACTGGTCCTAGGGAGTTCAGCGGCTCAAGCTACTCAAGGCACTTGTTAAGGAGGGTTTGCCTTTAATCCGCCAGGGAGACAATCAGCAGCGGCGTGACAACCTGCTCCAGCGCGAGGACTTCTCTAATTAGTGCCGTAACGAGACCTCACCCGAGCAGCTTGCAGGGCTCTGACACAGGCTACGGCACCGAAACAAAGACCCTGCATCTCTCAGGGCACAGCTGGGAGGAACCGGTGCAACCGCTTCATCCGCGGGAGCCACGCGTTCTGCTGACTCCATCCACGAACCACCCGAAAATCAAATCTCTGCTAAAAGACAGCAGCTCACTCCGGTTTGCATGGTTGTCAGCTCTGGAAAGGGCTCATATAATCTCCAGTATGCAGGGTTTGAGAGAAACTATAAGAAATGTTTCTTTGACACCCTTTGGCACACAGAGTGTCTTCTAAGTTTTAACATTACGCTCAAGCGTTAGCGGTGGTGAGCTAATCCGGATTCTACCATTTGCAATGGCCCAAAGCACAGACAACTGCACTCCAGTGCTGGAAACAAGAAGTTGTCCTGCATGCAGAGCACCAAGCAATGCTCTGGTCTTAAGGTTTATCCCCTGCTAAGGAAAGTGCTTTCTAGAAAGGAGCAAAACCTGTGGCTGGGAATTTTCTACCTATCCCCAGAGCTCAGCCTCAGGATGTCCAAAAGCAACACCCGGGAAAAGCAAAGCCAAGTCCATGCAGGACCCTGGCTGCACCTGAAAGTGGAAGAGGGCAAAGCAGCAATTGCAGCAAAGCACCCAGGTATTTTGTTCACTGGCCCTTCTTTCTGCAACAGCCGATTTTAGACTAAATGTTCTTTAAGTTTAAAAGTTCCAATTAATTTTAAACATTCAGAATAAAAAGCCAGGCATCTGTCAAGGCAGCAACCAAGCTGTCACCATGAATTTCCTATGAAAACCCACATGGCCCTGACCGAACTCTGCGAGGTCTCACTGCCAGGTGCTTTCTGGCAGGCAGGATGAGAGCGGGCTTGCCGATGTCATGGCAAAGATGAAGCGGAGGGTAAGCCTCGGTGTCCTCAACAAGAAGCGACGGCACTCAGCACTCAGCAGATGCAGCAGTTTACACCTGGCCACAGGATTCCAACCCAAAATCAACAACCTGGTCATCGGTGCAAAAAGCAGGAGGTGCTGTGGGTCTCCCCACAGAACTCTGTGCTCACGGATTTACTCTTTATGCAAATCTTTCTTCTCTTCCAGCCTGAAACCGTGGTCAAGTCATAAGAATGAGTGACTAGTTCTAACGTTTCAAAGGGACACACCTGGGGACCAGGCTGTCCCTCTTGGGATCACCACCTCCTAGCAGAGTTTGGAGATCTGAGTGCTGGACATGACTGCTTGTTCTTGCTGGAAACGAGGCATGATGCAGGCTCTGAGCTTAAATGCTGTAAAAGCAGGCAACTGCCTGCATGCAGTTAGAAGAATACACTCATCCTTGTATCCAGAACCTCACAGGACTCGCTACCCTTCCCACTCTGCTGGAACAACCGTCCAGTGCTAGAGCTCAGCTGCACGGGGGACCCGATTCCTAACTCTGGGGTGCCTCCACTGCAGAACAAGGATGATCCCTCTGCCCCATGGCGACGACCTACTGGGAGAGCAGAAACACAGGCTGTCCCCGTACCACACGTCTGACGTGGACCAGAAGGGAGCACCAGCAAGCCTCGCACCCAGGCGATGGGGTCCAGCACTGCGGGATCATCCCTGCCCCTCCATGGAGAGGATCTGACAGCTGCAAACTGAGTTTAGTTACCGTCTTTCCGTGCTTGGCTTCTCCTACATACAAACTGACACGTACATAAAGATATCTGCTGTTTGTGCTAAAGCTTTTTGCAGTACGTAAATAGACGTTAAGATGATTTTTGAGAGGCCCATATAAACTTTGTCGGCTTGTATAAGCAGACTGCAAATCATAGGGGCATATTATGTTTAAAAAAGTCAGATTAAAGGACAAATAACCTGTTCAGAAAAACATAAACAAATTCTAGTGACCTTGGTGAGAGCCGACTTTCAGTCATCGACCTCAGCATTACCCAATCTTAGGGGCAAACTCAGGTCTGACGTATAGTGTCAACGTAGCCAAAGTCCATAAAGTATCGAGATTTCTCTGTGTAATGGCTGCAGGGTAAAAGCCCCACTGCAATATGGTTTTTTTCTGCACAGCCAAAGTGGTTGATGCTCTCCATTCGCAAGTTTATAGAAGCATCTTTGCTCAGGTTAGTAAAGGCTTTATTTCCCTCAAGACCACCAGGGAAGCAGAGCAATTAAACAGAGAGTTATTTTCATCTCCTCGTTGAGGAGCTAACGCCTCTACCACCTGCCTGCTGACACCTGCAGCTGCTGAAAGCAGAGGCCTCGTTTTTCCACTCCCTGTGACACACCTATTAATTGTGCTGTCCAATTTATATTTATAAATATTTCGGTTTTCCACAGGGCTTTGCGCAACTTAGTTGAAAAAGCTCATTTCTTGTTAGCAAATACAAAGAACTATATTGGCAGCTCTGGGAATCAAGGTTCCTACAAAAAAAAAGATGGCACTTCTGGCTGTGCAACAGGTTGCAGCGATGTAGGAGTCAGACGTATCATCCACTCTCTCAAACGCATGTATTTCAAATTGCGATTGTGGCCAAAAAAAGACAGCACGGTGTCCTCATCGTGTTCAGCATATCTGTGTTTTGTTTCTATTTAAAGTTTGCCCCCAAATTTGGCAAAAACTATATAGCAGCTGGATGCTTTCAGCAACAAAATCATCTCCTAAGCACCACATGCCCCACCTTACTCCTTGAAAATTTTACAAGAAGACCGACCTGCTGGGTTGTGAAAATCCACCCAGGACTCTGCAGTCCTGTCTACTAATTCTAGTGCTCTGCCCTCAAGTGGCCTGCAGCCATTCAAGGATCTCAAAATTTTTAAAAGACATTTACAAAACATAATCCCTATATGATATGCGGGGAAACTGAGGCAGTGCAGCGCTGGATGCCCACAACATGCGTGCACATCACAGCGGCTGGGCTAACCGGGACAGCGACGGTTAGCCAAACGGGGCACGAAGAGCACGGACTCTGTCCACAGCTCAAGAGAAACCTTCTTCACAAAGCTGTTTTGAGTTATCACATTGCATTAAAAAGACGAGGGCTACTTCCAACAAGATACTTGTTTTACCATAATGAAATCAGAGGCTCTACATTGCTATGCTGTTTCATCAGCGGTTTGCACGCCTGCTGACCAAAGGCCCTGAAGAACATGGAGAAGAAAAACCATTTCTCATTTAATAGAGCCTGGGAACACTGGAAAGAAATAAAAAAGCTCTGCCAGCAACTAGTGCCTTGGACTGGAGAGCTGCTTCACATGTGGAAATGCAAAGCAATCAAACCCCAGGGGCAACATGGCTTGGCCAAGTCTTTGTGCAAGGTTTCCTGAAGACCAAGGCCATGTCATGTTTGGAAGAAAAAAAATCTCCAACCTTATTTTTAGCTTAACATGAAAAGTATTAGTATTTTATCCATAGAATTCTATGGATAAAAAAGAAGCAGAAAACACTTCAGCAACCTTTGATGTTAAAATATTTAATTTCCAACTCTACCGCAAAAAATAAACAATATGCATTATAAATCTAGCTGAAGGCTTCTCTGAAGTGAGAGCTTGTCACTTTTACCGCTACTTTGATGGCACGTGCAACATTAACAGCCAAACAGCTGACAGATCTTTTATTGGCCCTTTTATACGTGCACATATTCTGCGCACTGCAAACCAGAAAAGTTTCTCAGATGTGTTATTGGATTGCAACAACCTGATCTCATTCATCCACACTCATTTCCCCTCTCTCTCCCTCATTTCTTTCCACCACTCCACCAGCAACAGCTCGTTTGCTTCGTTCCTTCCTCAGAGCCCACGTGCTGTGGGCACGAGCACCTCCAGCTTCACTACTCACACCGCACTAGGGTGGCCTCCCTCTGCCCGAGCAAATCTCCACATAGATGTCTCCTTCTCCTTGTTTTAAGTCCTAGGCACTTCTCTTGCTATTACTCAGCTTAAGTACTACAACAACGAGGCCATAAAGAATTCAGATAAACACAAGTGTTTTGTTTGCCAATACAAATGAATTCACAGCTACATACCTGTAATCTTTTGATGGTCTTTCATTTTACTTTCAAAGTAAAATGTTTCCATTTTTTACCTTCCATTTCCATGGGAAACTGTTAATGATACAAACCAAAAGCTGCCTGTGAACAGCTCTTGCAGATACCACCTTTCACAGTGGCTTAAAAATCTAGCAACTAAGTTTTGTCTTATGTTGTCATGGATTAGGAACATGATCTGTTATCAGCCAAGGCACAGTAGATTTCTTTGTAAAATTTTGTTAGAAGTGTGAACTTGTCTGATTCCACCTAAGTAATGGAGATGGTGTTTTGACCAGAATGTGATCTTTCTTCAAAGCACAGAGGAAATTGGCACATCTTTGCTCTATAACACCTCTTTATATGTTGCGCAAAGCCTCTGGCCCTTGGATCTTGCTACTCCCTCTGAAGAGTATTTAAATGCTTTCAGCATTTAAAATTTGTTGCGGTACATCAGACTGAGTGTATCCAGGGCCTCCTGCAAAACACACTTACCTGCATTCAGGTCCTGCACCCCAGGGGAATGAGATTTCCCTACAGATGATCCCCCTCACACCAAGGAAGCTTCCCTGGGGGGTCCCCTCCACTTTCTCCTAGCAATAACGAGGTCAGCAAAGGGCTGGACCTGGAGAGAAACGGAGTCCCCCACATCCCTAGGGCAGATGACTCCCTAGCTCCATCAGAAGTATCTCACTCAGGGTCTGACCTGGAGTTAAACCATTGGTAAGCTCCCCTCTGCTCCAGTCCACAGCAGAAAACAGAGGAGGGAACGAACTAGAGCACACAAGAAATGTCCAAGGAGGATAAGCCAAAACGGTACTCCACAAGCGACCTTCCTGACCTCAGTGCCTAAAAATCACTGCGAAGTGCAGAACAATTATCTTCTCTGTTCATAGTTTATGGGAGGTGACAAAAACAGGTCAAAGGGGAATGCTCCCAGCAGCCTGAGCTCCAGTCCTTAGCAGCATCTCTACTGTTTCATGTAGAAAACAAGCACCAATAACAAAGCTTCACATCTAACTACTATCTGAGCTGTTACAGTCCCATGGGAAAGAAGAGATCAAATGCATTCCCTAGAGATGTAGACATAAGCTCCACTGCAAAATAACAGGACGTGACTGCAAGATGCCAAATCTCTCTCTCTGGTTCTGCCACGTCTGGCTGCTTACCTGTGAATGCCATCGATGGTGAGGGGTGGCAACTCGGAGTTAACCTCCTGAGGTGCAGGAGCATGCTCTGCTAGTGCGGACTCCAGGTCTTCCAGAATCATGCTCTTGTACTTGCGTACCTGTGGGGAATCGTTAAGATCAGGTAAACAAGGTAAGGAGCACCAGGAGAGGTGAGGGCAAGGACGCAGGGCCAGGCACCTTCCCCAATGCCATCGATGGTGAGGGGTGGCAACTCGGAGTTAACCTCCTGAGGTGCAGGAGCATGCTCTGCTAGTGCGGACTCCAGGTCTTCCAGAATCATGCTCTTGTACTTGCGTACCTGTGGGGAATCGTTAAGATCAGGTAAACAAGGTAAGGAGCACCAGGAGAGGTGAGGGCAAGGACGCAGGGCCAGGCACCTTCCCCAAGGTGCTGCAGAACAGAAGGAGCAAACAATGCCACAGCTGGCAAGAAAAAATACCCACTGGCCCCGAAGACTTGGCCGCATCGAAGACCTGATGATGAAACATCAAGTAACACTGGCAAGTGGAAGTATTTACGGGATTAAAAGAAAAGTTCTGAAGCAAGACTTATCACAGTCATGATCTGCTCCATTTACTGTCCGGTCTGCAACAAGGTGCAAGCACTGACAGCCAAGCTGAGTTCAAACACATCACCACTACCTGCTCCCTCTGATTTTTAATCCAGGATATTCAACCCTGGTGAGATGTGCTGGGCAACCACAGGACCTCAGTGCTACCCTCATGTCCATACAATCTGAATTCCTGTTGCCAGGGTTTTAAACATGACCTTCGAATCACTACCAGGCTTGCAAGGCTGCCTTGAGCAGAATGAAACCTGCAGAGAAGGTGAGCAATTCATTACATAGCTTTTCCTACAGACACCTACCACATTCTCCAAGGGTGCAGCACCGAATACTTTAAAGACAGGATTGGGTTTGGAGGGTGAGATGCACAGAACGATGGCCTGCTGCCCCACTCTGGTGGTGTACTCATCCAGCGTGGCTCGGAGCTTCCTGAAACAGAGATATAAAACAGCGAATAGGTATCAGCTGAAAGCCCTGCAGAAACACAACCCTTTGCATTGTAAACTCCCTTTCTTAATGCTACCCATTTACAAACCAGGTGAGAAACGGAGCCCCAGCTGGTCAGATTAGCCACATATACTGGTTCTTCCTCCGCTCCCACAGGCCTGCTGCGTTCCCTGCAGTCACCCAGCAGCTCAAATATCAATTATTCTCCCTTCTTTCCTTTTTCAATTGATGTAAAAAATAAAGAGAAATCACCAGAGCAGCAAGAGGACAGCAAGAGTCTACATATCCACTCTGTCACCGTCTAAGTGTATTAGCAATACAAAACTTGTAAGGTAAAGAACTTGAATGATTCAGCAAAAGAGGACTGCGAACACAGGTTATTTTACATCCAGCCTCATAACAATGCATTGCAATTCTCTAGCACCAAAGGCCTGCTCAAACCAGAACTGTATGCATTCAACCAACAGCTAAACGACAGGCAAGAACCAGAAATATTGCAACAGCTGAGCACAAGAAACCCACGTATTCAGACACCTGCCACATCAGCAAGTCCCTTTGGAATGAGCTCTGTAGGAAGAAAACGTTCCATCATATACTTTCCGCCTCTTACTCACTTCTAAGCAATGCAAGAGATGTGTCAGAAATGTTGTCAGAAACTCATAAAGCAAGAGAGAAGTAGCGGTTATCACCAGATAACCTGAGCACTCCATAAGGTGACAGTGTAGTATCTGCCCTGGTCATTTCAGAACCTGCTGTTAGCAGCAGACACGTTGCCAAAAAGCACCACCACCATCACCAGCTACGCAGAGATCCCAGAATCAGAAACTGTAACTTCCCACTCATTTCACAGTGGTGTAAATATCAAGCACAAACATGTCAAACTGATCAGAGTGCAAAAAAAGGATGCATTTTGTCAGTAACTTGCATGTAGTAAAATGAAGGAGTTGCATGAAGGGAGAAGAAAGAATTCCTTTAAATAGGAGTTTCTTTAAAAATATATTGTTCACATTTCAAGAGAGAAAAGAATTTGCTCTTCAGAAACGTTGCAAGAGACAAGGTTGGGTCAGCAGAGTTGGGGGAAGGAGGGAAAACCAGAATGAGCTATAAAAAAAGGGAGTCCACTCCCAGGGAATATTATTTAACACTAACCCTGCTCCACTTCGTTCCAGTTTGATTATGTGCAAAGGGTGTTGTGGGACTCAGCAGTCCCACAGAGTAAGCAGAATTATAAGGAAACCAACTTAATTTCTCACCAACTTTACAAGAGTTAGAATAGGAGAGAAGGAGAAAAAGCGAAACTCTGGCCATCACTGTTTCAGTGCATGAAGTGTGCACACAGGAGGAAGCCAGCAAGAAATGGGATGACAAATACCCCAACTCTTGTGAGATAAATTAAACCCAATTAAATCCAAAACAGTTTAAAAAGAAAAATTGCTTTGTTCCAAAACCTAAAAAATATAGGACCAGCCAATATTTACAACTGTTTCCTGAAGATGGAATTGCAGGTGATCTCCCCAGGCTTGCGGAAAGCCTGTGCAGTCACTTCAGCACCAGTGCTCCTAGGTGGCCATCAGGCGGGCAGACAGCCTCAGAGCACCTGTAATGCAACACCTGAAGGGCTACGGAAGATTGGTGTCTACAGAGCAAGTTTCTAAAGCCAAAGAAAGTGTTTCAGCTCTGGCAGGCATCTCCCCTCGATTATTATCCCCCAACACTGTGCACTACAGGCTGGGTCAGTCTTCAGCATGGAGCTCACACAACGGGGTCTGCTGGCAAAGGAAATTCAGGTACACACGCACTAGATTTATTCACAGGATCATTTCATAATGCAGAAAATACTTTTTTCGTTAGGTAGGTAAGTCCTTCGTGCCACTGCAGAGCTGGGATATGGCTGTAGCTCCAGATTCTCAGGCCAGCTGCTGTTAAAGCGACTACGAATATCTTGCAAGGCAACGGTACCATGACAGATTTAACTTGTGATTACCTGGGGTTAAAACAGAATGGTGGATCCCACCAGAATGGTCATGTCAGTCCTGGTGATCATAATATCGCATTAAAGATGAGTAGAGCTGCAATTTAGCCCATTTCTACAAACTAAAACACAGCTCTTGGGTTCCAGAAAAGATGCCCAAACAAAATCCCCAAGCTGAGCAAGTTCTGGACAGCACATGGTCTCACCATGCGCGGCACTGGAGACAGATCGAGGATGCAGACCAAGGTGTCAGAGTGCAGGCGGGAGTCCTTACCGTAGCAAACGCGTCTGCTGCCTCTTGCGGATTGACGGGTTGGATTCAAAAACGTGTGGTCGCTTTCGTTTTTTACCCGTTGCCACGGCAGCAGCTGCTGCCATCCCCACAGGGCCTGGAAATCAAACCATAAAGAGTGAATCAGTACACGCAGCTCAGGAACTGGCCAGAAAGGAGGTTGCCATTGCCCGCCCCAGCGATGGGTCCCAAGGGCTCCGCTCAAGGGCCTCCCCACCCACCGGACCAGGGTGACCCGAATTCCCCACTGAGCTCTCTGGCAGCCGGGATCCCTCCTCTCCAGCATTGGAGAGGTGTATCAAAAGGCTTCATTCCCCAGACTGGCAAATCCCAGCTCAGTCCCAGGTGAAAGTCACATATTTCAGTCCAGAGTTTTCCTTACAATCACATAATTATGTGTTTTATCTTCCAGACATACTGAAAAACTCTCAAGTATGCCAAGACTTTAAGTCACTGACTGCAATTGAGGAGATCCTGGTGGCAGGGGAGAAGAGACCAGGTACAAATGCCATGAATCCTGCTCGGACACCTCAACTACAGCATCAGGAGTCCGAGGCTTTCCCTAGGGATTAAGGACCAGTTCTAATGGGAAAGAAATTGAAAATCCAGAGTTCCCGGCAGCATCCTACAACAGTCCCCTGAAGAATAGTGCGGACCACAGCAGGGCAGCGCTAATTGCTTTCGTGATCAAACTCTAGACACAGAGTCTACGTAAGGGGAAGTTTCATTAAGTTAATTGGAAGTAAACCAAACAACATGCAGTGGATTGTGCTTCTATTGGTGATCTCCAGAAATGAGTGCCAGGTCAGAGTCAAAAAGCCCTGGGGTCTAATGCAGGCTCAAGGACTTGCCTTTGACTCCTGAGCAGACCTCAGTTGCTCTGTGTGTAGTTTCTCCATATGTCAGAGGTGAAAGATCCCGTCAGGGAACACTATATTTTTGTGTTTAACAAAGATGCAGCTACTGGATCAGGAAGTCCTAAGCTACCAGTCAGTGGAAGCTGGTAGATGATAATGAAAGATTATATGTTTTCTCTAGGCAGCTGCTCTGGGAGATGGGACACTGTAATGGACAGAGCTCTGGGTGACACTACAGACCCAGGTTTTGTCAATCAGTAAGGAACTACATGAGTGCTACTCATGCCAGGCACAGCAAGCGCTGCTGCATACTGCTCCAACAATCCTGTGCTTGTGAAAAATAAGAATAAAAACATTGCCTTTTGGGGGACTGGAAAAACATTTGCTCTGGAGAAGCGAGGAAGGGCTACGCTGGGCTCTCGGGCAAGCTTTGGGCTGGATGTGCCAGCCCATGCTGCAAACTGCAGCCGCCTGCCCTAGGGAAGCGGGGCAGCTCCTGGCTCGGGGGTGCCTACCTGGCCAGGGGTTGGAGGGGCACCGGGCGGCCCCTGCATCGGGAGGGCTCACAGGCAGGCGAGAGGCATCAGATGCCCCTCTCCTGGAACCCAGGCCTGAAAAGCTTGTGTGCTCGAAGGGAAGGAGGAAGGAAAAAATCCTGCAGGAGCTGAGGCTGGAAAATTAATAAGCAAAGGGTGTGGGATGCTCAGTGGGGTGGTGGAACTTCACAGGTTCGGTCAAGCACATCAAGAGCTTTATTTATCAGATAAAGTCTGATACAGAGTCAGACAAGTCTGTGAGTGCTTATTTATCACTGCATTTTTCTACTAATGAGGTAGATCCACCACAAGGCAAATCTGGAGGACATTTGGCAGGGGCTTGACTGGAATCACTTGACTGTGATTCTGAAATACCTTCCCAGGCCAGATACGCCAGGACCCTTTGTGGCATCTCCTTGGGAGAGGCCTAGCATGTGAGCTCCCTGGCTAAGCAGGGTTGCATAGCACTCCTGGGTTATTTTTGCTGTTTTTTATATGGTCCTGAAATAAGCTTGCTCTTTGACATATTCAGTATTTTAGTTTCGTTTTTTGAGGCAGCATTTACCAGGGACCTTTTCTATTGTACAAACCAGTCTCTTATTCCCAGTACCTCTATACTGCACATAAATAAAGTGATGCAAGATTCAAGCGGCCAGCAGACCTTGCAAAGAAGCCAGGGCAATACGGAAACATTCAGAGCATCCCGTGGGGTGACAAGATCACCCACCACCCTCAAGCGGTCTTTGCGACCTCTGCACAAACGCAACATTAGGCGAATGACGCCGAGCATCCCACTGACTTTACCTGCCGCAGCCAGGTGGGCGGTGACCTCGTCGGCAGCCGTGGAGTTGAGGATGTCAGAGTCATCGTAGGAGGTGTCCTCCGGCGAAGACGGCGAGTCTTCGTCCGCGCTCAGCATGCTGTGCTCTGTGTAGGTGGCCACATGGACCTGCTGCACTTGCTGGGCCACTGCGTGGGCCTCGATGGTGGCCATGTGCTCTGTTTGGGTCACCCCGTGTTCTTCCATCAATAGCTACTGTCAGAGGAGACAAAAATCACAGGAAGGGGTTACCAACACTGATGCACCATAAGGGAGGGCAGCCAAAGGTTTCTGAGCCAGCTAGGTGAGCAGGCCATGACTAAGAGGAAACAGGAGATTACCTCCCCCAGTGGCAGTGGTCTTCTACGAGAGGGAAATAACAACTGCACCAGGAGCCAGAAGAGGAACTTGAAGTTTAAGAGTTTTGAAAAAACTTCCAACAACATGGCATAGCACCCAGAGGCAGTCATCTTTGCTGGAGGAAAGGTCTTTAAGGATCTTGTAGCCCCGAGATTATGTGCTCTGCACACACTACATATTAAGAGATCTGATCAAAGCTGGAACTTATATTTGCCACTTGAAGATCTAGCTTTCAGGGAAGATGCTCAAGGGCGATACACAATCTCTCTCCTCCAACCTCAATAGCTCAGGACACAAATGAGGATGCCAGTACAGAAGTTTACTGGCAGCAAGTTGCATTCTACAGACCACTTTTGTTGCATTACTTGTTTAGAGTCCGGAAGCAGGCAGAATCATTACAACCCAAGCACAAATATTACATAAAGCATATTTATTTAATGCATCTAGTGGTAAACCACTGAGCAAAGTAGCAGCTTACGTAGTCAGCAGGGCACTGGACCATACGCCATGAACATAAATCTGCGCAGAAGGAACAAGACAGGAGGTACGCAGGTATTTTCAGTGTGTGTCTACCATACATTTGTGGAAAAGGAACAGCACATCCTTAAGATATTTTCAAACTACATTAGAAGAATTAGGACATCAACCCTCAAAAACAGATTCCCCAAAACCCTCGGGGCAAACAGCAGAAGGAAAGAAATGACCAGCTGTAGCGAACAATAAAATACACCCAAGAAATTCTGACCCCGTAAGTATAGCCATTGAATTTAAAGCTCTTGATTGACACCCTCTTCATGGAAACAGATCAAGTTTCCCAACCATCACATCCCAGGGTTTAGGATGAGTTAGCTCCACATATTCATTTGCAAAATGAATTCATTCCTTCTGCAGCCGCCGTAGCAGCCTTTGTCTTCCTGAGAAGCCAAATCTGACCTAGCCATTTTGGCACGGTTTCTCATTTACTAATACAAAGAAATCCATCTGCATCTTTCCACAGCCTTACTGAACTTTCCAAAAAGCCAAAACCAATCTCCAAAGCATTTCGCCCTGCTCAACTCTGTCCAATTAACTGGCAATTCAGACCTTAGAGGCTAAGCTCCTCGGGAAGTAGCAGCCTCCCTCCGCTGACCAGAGAGGGAGGCCACAGCAACTTGCCTTCTAACGTAGACATCGTGGCTTCGTAGTTAAAACCCAGAAAAGGGTCCAGGTTACAGAATCCCTTCATTTTCCATGTCTGTCTATGGCTGGTTTCTCTCCAATGCTATACACACTTCTAGTAACAAGGGTCACATAAAATGAACGGTTTCTACTGGTTTCTCTCCAACGCTATACACACTTCTAGTAACAAGAATCACATAAAATGAACGGTTTCTGCTAAGAGACTACTATTTCCACACGTAACACCAACTTCACTGTGGAGCATCAAAGCTTACTCCATTAATTTTGACATCTTCATGGGGGATAGAAGCAGAAGGGAACTGCATGTATTTAGGCAGTGGATTTTCATCCACGAGATGCCAACAGTGCTCTAAGGCACAGCTATATTCTAAACGTTAGGGTGATACTGGTTTGATACTGGTTTGGGTTTCCCAGTTCAGAAGAGTCTGGTTAAAACCAGGGACCCGTACTCCCAAGTGAGATGGAAGGAAGGACATGGTCACATATTTAATTATGCAGCCGGCTGTTGTGTGACGGAGGGAGGCATTGTTTAGCGGCTAAAACAAAGAAACAAGTATCAGGATGCAGGTCCAGTACTGGAAGCTGCCCAGATACTACAATGACCGTGGCACTAGAATCACCCTCTGTACTGGGAAGGCTGGGGAAGAGGCACATCGCTTCTATTTACACTCCCACTAACATTACTGCCCCAAGAAAGTGAGTTTCTTATCCATGAAACACTAAGAGATCCCCTAAAAGGTCCTAAATGGTATGGACGGGAAACTGAATTCAATCTGGACCACAGACAGATGTTTTCAAACTTCTGTTTTCTATCCAGGCACGCACTAGAGGAACTCAAGCCTGTGGGACAGCAGAATTGGTGTTGTGAGACTTACAAACCTACTGAGGTTACGGCTAAAGCCAAATCGCCCTCAAACTCACAATCCTCCCTAGAAGGCTGCTAGAGTTAGATGTTGCTGTTGTCCAACCCTGTTTATAACTCAGATTGTAATATTAGAACCATCCAAAAATAGCAGCAATTCAAATACCGCCAGTAACGAAGGGACTAAGATGCTGAGGTACATTGAAGCAAACTGAAAATTTCTGGTTTGAAAAAAATCAGCCGTAACCTCCTTGCAAGGAACTTATTTTGCCTTCACCGTAGAAAACTGGTCAAGAAAAATTAAAAGGGAAAAAAAAAAAAAAAAAAAGCTCAGCAGGCCATGCCTTTCCCAAGCTACTATGCTTTTTCTGAAAGGGTATATTGCTGCTTTTCTCAATGGAACAATACAATTTTAAGTACTTTCCATTAAAATGTATTTATCCACAGAAAAATATGATCGGAATATAATTGATGAAGCATAGTAACCTTGTAGCTCATCAGGAGACAAGACTGCAAGACAATGGATGCTTCACATACCGTTTCCTTCA